TATATATATATATGTATATATATATATATATCATCTCTCTCTCTCTCTCACACACATATATATATATATATATATATATATATATATATATATAAAAAATATATATATATATATATATATATATATATATATATATATGTGTGTGTGTGTGTGTGTGTGTGTGTGTATGTGGTGGCACAGAGTTAGACCTCTTTCTTGACTTCAATCAGAAACAGCAATGTGTGTGGATTGACGTCAGCAGCTTGAAGCAGAAAGCACAAGTATGTCTGCGGTCTGGAGGTATTATAAAGTTGATGACAACAACATAGCCTTAGCAAACTGAGAAATATGTAAATTTGGGATGCCTGTCGGGTATTTTAAGTTGAGGTGCTGTTTGTTTTTATATTAGATTTTTTATATAAATATTTTTACGGTATTTACTGCACTAAAGTCTAAAATTGAAGAATTAATTATTATTTAATTGTTCAGTCTACCTCACAGAAAGACTCTATTTGTTAACAGAGTTGTTAAACATTAAAATAAGATGAATTAAATAAAAAATGAGGAGCATCCTGGATCTGTTTCTTTGCTCTTGTTTTTTTTTTTTTTTTGATGTATTATAGAAGTATCGGATCGGGTACCAGTATCAGCAGATACTCAAAATCAAATGACTCCGAGGCAAAAAATAAAAATACCGGACATTCTTAATGTACATGTCGATCAGGTTTTTTATTTTTCATTTAATTTTGAGTATTTGCTTTATATATATATATATATATATATATATATATATATATATATATATATATATATATATACACACACACACACACACACACACACACACACACACACATACATACACAATTTAAACAAAGTTTACAATTTAGTTAAACAAAGTATATTACAGTAGTTATTATCAGTTCAATTTATTGATACTAGAGTATGCTGGAGTGTTCATTAACAGTTGTATGGTAAACAGTATATAAAATACAGCAATTTAATGTACGATGTTAGTATGATTTCGAGACATCATGCTACTTTTTTAAAATTCAATATACAATTTATAAACAAATGTTTACATACAAATTTATGAATAAATAATAATACATTTTATTTCAGTAGGCCTTGTAGTTAAAATAAAAGTAAAATATAGCAATTATCAGATCAATATATTATACAACAGTATGCTGGTGTGCTCATTACAGAGCTGTATGGTGAAAACTATAATATGTACAGATGAAGTCAGAATTAGCCCCCCTTTAAATTTTTGTTTCTTTTTTAAATATTTCTCAAATGATGTTGAACAGATTACGGAAATGTTCACAGTATGTCTGATAATATTTGTTCTTCTGGAGAAAGTCTTATTTGTTTTATTTCGGCTAGAATGAAAGCAGTTTTTAATTTATTATGAACCATTTAAGGTTATTATTATTAGCCCCTTTTAAGCACATCTTTTTCCGACTGTCTACAGAACAGACCATCATTATACAATAACTTGCCTAACTTGCCAAGTTAACCTTATTACCCTAGTGAAGCCTTTAAATGTCACTTTAAGCTGTATAGAAGTGTCTTGAAGAATATCTAGTCTAATATTATTTACTGTCATCATGGCAAAGAGAAAATAAATCAGGTATTAGAGATGAGTTTTTATAAACTATTATGATTAGAAATGTGCTCATATAATTTCTCGTTTAAACAGAAATTGGGGAAAAAATAAACGGGGGGCGAATAATTCTGACTTCAACATAGTAAACTACACCTTACTATATTTGATTCTAGAACACTTTTATTTACTATAAATTACAATATTTGGATAATGTAGGACGAGAGAAACACTGAGCTATGTTGGCCCAATTCCACATAAACGTTTGCATATAACTTTAGTAACAAATATTACTAGATTTATTGCGTTTATTAATGTCACAAGTCTTCCTCTGTCCACAAGAGGTCAGTAAAACACTAATACATGTAATAAAAAATTTTAATTTCACTGAATTGCACTGCAACTGTTTTGCTTGCCCAATCTACAGTATATATATATATATATATATATATATATATATATATATATATTGCATTAGAACAAACTACGGTAGAAATGTTTATCTATTAATGCAACTGCAAACTAAAAAGATCTGCAGTTTACTGTATAACCAGATGCTTTGATGGTTAGCATGAGCTTTTATCTGCTGGAAAATTAATACTGTCCTAATGCAACAATGATTTCCAAAACACAAACTTTTAATTAAAATCATTTATAGACAACTGGAAACACGTTTTTTGAAAGACTTTAAAAGCTGCGAGAGACAAAAGCAAAATGCAAATATAAATGTCATAATATTTCAGCTTTGAACAGAATTTGAAACGAGCAGTTTGTTTTAAATGTGCACATATTTTAACACTGATAATCATATTATTATGTATTTATTATGGTAAAAAAGGAAAATAAAGAAAAACAACATTTAATTGTTTTAGTTTAATTTTCGATGTTGATCAAGTTTACACTGTATACAGCATGATAAGGAAAAAGAAGACAAATATATACATCTATTAAAATATTACTTAAAAAAATAAATAAATTTAAAACAGCAAGGTTAACAAGGACTTG